CCAACCACCGTAAATGGTGGTTTTTGTCTTTCTATACCTGTGTTCTACACCGTTTAACATAAATCAAGTACACCTGTACTAAATTACCACCCACCTGGGTTAGGGAGATCCCCCCCAAGGTAAGAGGGGGGCCCTTCTAAAAAAACAAATTTTACAACGCTACAATTTTCGTAGTTCAGACCCGTAGAAACTCTCGTTGTATACTTCTCTAGATAACTCTTGATAGAGAGTTGTGGCGTCTACTTTGCTGTTGACATCCGTCTAAAAGAAAAGAATTACCTATAAAAATGCTTTAGTGAGGGGAAAATTTGACATAAGCAACAAAATAATTATTGTTGAAAAGAAATGACAGTATTCATCAAAATGGACAAATGAATAAGAGAATAAAAAAATATTGATATTTTACTAGTATATTTCTACACGGAAATGGAGATGACAACTCTTTTTCGAAGAATATACAGCAATCGTATCGATCGATTGGGTCTACTGATTGATTGTTGTTTCCAATAACTGACATACTAAGTCAATCTGTCTTACTTTCTGCGGTGACCGAAGTTGATTTTCTGTAGTCGGTGCGTTTTTGACGCCGTACAATGCCGAGATACCCATGACGTTGCAAGATGGCCCCACCCGCCTAGCTAGAGTTTTATAGCTTTGAAGGCTATAATGCAATGCAAAAAAAGGGGGGGGGTTTTTTTTATTTTTTTTTATAGCTATATGACTCTCGTTACTCCTAGCTATGAAATATTGAAAAAAAGGGCAGAGGCGATAGCAGTTAAGATAGTTTTGATACACGTCTGTTTGTGCTCATTTACGAGTTAAACGAGAGGAGAGAGTGACGACAGGAGGGCGAGGACCTCGGAGCCGTGTGCGTCGCGCGAGGGACGGACTTTGCGGCTAATAGTTCGACTACTGTCGTCCTGTACCCTAACCCACCTGGGCAGTTTAGGTTCAAAACACTGTCGGACGGGCAACCAAGGTAGGATAAAGTTTCAACGAAATGCTGCATGTAATTATCGTAGAAGGTCATTTGTCATTAATATCGATAATTTAAGAATATTTTACATGGAGGACGCAGTGTCAGAGTGTTCCGTGTCAGCAGACGTCAGAACTCCTCGTTCGTACCCCTTTGTTTTTCTGTCGTAAATGGACAAAACGTAGGTCGATCGGTTCAGGAAAACCACATGGTCGATGCACCTGCGGAAGCAACTTGCAAAACAAAAAAATTGCTCGAACGCACTTTATATGCTTAGTCCAACCAGTCCAGGTTCCAGAAATTCGTTGTTAAATAAGAGGGTTTGCAGAGGCAAGCTTTCCTAAACCCTCTAATCGACGACTTGCTTAACCCGCCTCCTGGCTCCAGGCCTCTGAGGTGAACGTGTGTTTCGGTAGGAGTAGTTGATGACGCAGTGGGCTATGCTCAGTGACGGGTTGATGAGTGTCTGACGTGACCCGCGCTGGTCACCGCGGGATACTGGTAGTTAAACTGGTGCTGACTAACCTGACTTTAATACAAAGGCCGCCGTCAATCAATTGTCTATGTTGTCAGTTGTTACAAACCCCGACGACGACGTGACCGAGTCCCGAGGAGAGATCGCGGGTCTGTCTCTCCATTAACTATTGTGCCGGTTCCGGTCCGTCCTGAATAGTCATTGGAAATTCTGGGTAGCATTTGTAATAATTTGCTCTAACATAACTCTATATCGTACAATAGCTATGGTTAATAATTATGTCAACGTTCTTTTTCATACACTTGGAAACCTGTAATGGACCTAAAGACAGTATATCAACCAGTATTTTACCTCCTTCGGTGACGAACAGGTTTTTTTGTAACGACGTGCAAACTTCAACGTTCTTCTCGTGGCCTACAAGGTAGTCAGTGATGCCGTTTTTTAAGACACCTGATCTACTTTGGTTCAACCTCAACAAACCTTCCTTGTGTGTTGAGATACCACACCTCTTTTTTTTGCGTCGTCGTGTGGGTTGTGTTTTTGGGAGTAGGTTTGACATTCATACCACCTACCTCGTAAGTGTACCAACCCCGAGAATACGGAGTCGCCGGACCTGTCCAACGTAGTATGCCTAGCCTTTTTACTTAGAAGTTCAAATGGTTCTGTAAAACGCCTCTTGAATCGTAGACGGTGGTTAACTTCGAGTTGTCTTCTACCCACTACGTTGCCTGTTGCTGGGTTTCGTGTCTTCATTTAGTTGTTGCTCTACCGAAGTTGTCTTCTTTTTATGCGGAGACCTCACGGGTCAGCCTCAGGACTGGAGTTGGGTTAACTACTACGACACGTACCTGGAGTTCACTACGCTCGTTGTGGTTCTGTAGTGTTCTTTAACGACTTGTACTTTGTCAAAACATTTCTCTTACGCAGGTTTTAGAGGATGGCAACCGTTCCAGACTATACGTTGATATCTATGCAAGACCAACTCCATAACGACGGTTTCGTGACACTTACAATTGTACACACAAGTTATTTTTTGTAATTTGTATATTAACAACACACTCAAGAATTCGTCTGACACCAACAGTAACAACCTTAATCCTACTTTACTACTCTTGTGTAATATGGTTCACAATTAGTCTAGGTACTGAACACGTCACATGAACGTGCCGGGCTGCACGGTCCCGTGGGTTAGATCCGCGTTCATAATGCAGAGGAAAATAACTCTCAGAATAACGTTATTAGCACATTTTACAACTTGAGGACCGAATATTTTTAATAAGGGCTATACAAACGTTCATACTGAGTAGTTTATTTAGTGTAAAAAAAAAAATCCAACGATTTACAGACGTCTCTTTCCCAATATTAGTCAATGGGAAAAAGTCTGGGCCCAGCGACTGATACGGAAGTGTAGTACCGCGGTTTGGCCACAACGAATATTTTCCTCAGAGTCCGGCGCACTTCCTGGGGGCTTGGATCTAGTGGGAGGAGCCACGCCTCCCTACTTCTTCTTCAATGAGTCGCAAACAACTTACAGGTACATAACACCACCTACTGTACAAGACTGGCATCATCATCATTTCAACAACTGAAAAATCATTTTATCACTGTATGATACCAGGTTTTCATATTGACATTAGTGTTATTTTATTAAAATGTTAACTATAATATATGTTGTTCCAACTCTGTCGTCCGGTGATCTAACCGCCTTCTGGAAAAGCTTCACAAGTACGTCGGTACGCAAATGCGTTTTGTGACACAAGTGACGGTACGCATTTCAGATTGTTGCCGCGCATGCGTACTTGCGTACCAGTTATGTGCACCCATAGATATATATAAACACTAGATGGCTCATGGGAGATTTTCCAGCATAGCTCACCGGCCGCCATCTTGCTACAGTTAACAGCTACTCTGGTACACGCTATGGTAGCTGATGTAAGGTGAGTGATCTGCACAAAAATAATCTTGACTCGCTGAAATCTTGACTGATTTACAAACGGTTTGGTTTATTATAAACATTATTAGCATGGCTATGATACAGGATGCTTGGACATGTTAAAATTGCAGCTTTTCTTTGTGTATGTGGTTGTATTTATTAGCTGGCTAATAAGAGGCTGTGACGGCCCCTACACATGGCGGCGTGCATTGTCGCTTGCCGCCGGCGGGGGGGGCTGAAACTCGACCAACCACCAATCACATGAATCTCCCGCCCCAGACACACAAGCACGCTGTTTGATTGGCTAGAGCTTGTACTGGCATATGATTCGATTGGCTGACGCCTCCATCGAGGCGGGAAAAGTCGAACATTGCTCTACTTTTGCAGCGAGCACCGCGAGAGAAGCTACGCTTTGCTCCCACAATGCAGTTCGGCGAATCGTGACGTCACCCCATTCAAAGTGAATGGGCAGAAGCGTTGAAGCGGCAACGCACATCGCCGTGTGTAGGGGCTGTGAGTGACACCTAGTATTACAAAGTTGACCTAGCAACTTTACACCAGTGGGAGAGGCAGAACTGCTCTTTCTTTTCAACATAACTTAAGTTACACATGATTTCTTCCAAGTGGTTAGGCTTGTTAAAAACATCTTACATTTTAGATCCATTATGATACAGGAAATTGCTGGCTTTGTGTTTACAGAAGTACCTGACTATGCCGGACTTTTGTGCAGCCTACGGATGCTCTAATCGCCGCAGTCTGCACACAAGAACCCGTGGAATCACCTTTCACGTGTAAGATATGACAATATTATGACTATAATTAGGATAATCGTTAATTACTTAGTGGATGTATGTACATTACACAGGATCAGTGGGGCTATGTGAGATAATAGTATTGCACGATTGATGTTGACCCAGCCTCATTAGAATATGTTGCTACCATTTCTTTACACAATTATTTAATGTTTCTTTTGGACATCTTTTTTATAACTCTTAGTGTGGTTGTCTTATTCTTAAAGTATACAATACATACATACATACATACATACATACATACATACATACATACATATATACATACAATTACCCCAAAAATATGATAATTTCGTTGTGTATTTCTGTCCTTACCCTTAATGTTAAAGGAAAGAAGGGAGGACAATGTTGACAATCATTTATATATCTGGCTACCTTTCTCATGTTTTTAAGGTTTCCCAAAACCGGAGAGAGGAGGAGGCAGTGGGAAGTTGCCCTAAGAAGGGACGGTTTTGTTTCCTGTGGCAGTGATCACTTCAGGAGTGAGGACTTTGACAGGACGGGGCAGACTGTCCGGCTTAAAGATGGTGTTGTGCCAACAGTATTCAATTTCCCAGCTCATCTTCAAAGGGTATGTGTATCATTGGCCTACAAGAATTCAAGGTGTATAAGATTGATATATAAATATGTGATTAAATGTCACACTTTAGTTTTTCTTTCTGCAAGTTTAGGAATAAATAATGTGTTGTGTATTACAACACATTTTAAACACTCGCAACAAGAAGCACAACCATTTCTAGAAGAGCGGAAGATGAACCTCAGCCTAATGTTGTGAGTATTCTGAATGTGACCAAGACCAGAGAGATGGTCATTGATTTCAGGAGGGTGAGGACGTCTCCTCTACCCCTGTGCATTCTGGGAGAGGATGTGGCTGTTATGGAGGACTACAAATACCTGGGAATGCACTTAGACAACGGACTGAACTGGAGGATCAACACTGACACTGTGCACAAGAAGGGGATGAGCAGACTATTTTCTGAGGAAGCTGAGATCCTTCCACGTGTTCAGCAAGATGCTGGAGATCTTCTACCGGTCTGTTGTGGCCAGAGCACTCTTCTTTGCTGCGGTCTGCTGGGGGGGCATCATCAGAGCTGGTGCCACCAGCAGGATCAATAAACTGATCAGGAAAGCTTGGTCTGCCATCGGCATCAAGCTGGACCCCTTTGAAGCTGTGGTGGAGAGGAGGANTTGCAGCCCCTTTTTAAGAGATTTGGGCATGGAGGAAAATAGAGAGGGTTGTGTTTTCTGACACTTGGTGAGTTCCCTGGAACACCGGGGACACATATTCATGTATAAAATATGTACAAAAGTGCATTTTGCATGATAGGTCACCTTTAAATGTGTTAGCTGTCACAAATGATTTACACTTTAGAATGAATAAATCGCAGATATTGAGGAACAAACATGGTGTGTCTATTAAATGTGAAAACAGCAATGTGCTTTCTCACCTTGTTGCCTTATGTTCATTTGAAAGCTGTTTATGCTAATCTCAAGTTGGTTGGAGGCAGATACATAGATAGAATTTGTATACATTTCAATTAGTTTGGAGACATTTGACATGGTGTTTTGACAGAGTACTACAATGTTAAACTAATTAACATTGATGACTTAAACTAAAATGCACATGTCTTGTCTGCACTGGGGATATATATTTTAGGATGGAAGTGCCATGAATATAAATGAACCACCATGGGCTGATGACTCAGCAGATTTGCAAGAATGCCTTGTGCTTCCATATTGTAACTTTGACATCAGCTCATTGCCTTTGTTGCACACTTCATCTTCCTCTGCCTTCCTTCCCTTCTGCCACACAACTCAAACACATAAAGCCTTGAGGACCAGTGGGTACATTTAGATGGATTTATTAGCAGAAATTGAATATTAAAACATAACTTTAACAGGGAATAATCACCTGTACTTTATAATCGTTGTGTTTTCTTAAGCTTAGAATGAGCCCTTCATATCTATATGGGGAGTTGTTCCTCTTCCTTTGGCCTTTCACATTTGTATTTTACTTATAAGCCACCTTATGTTCTCTGCATGCTTGTAAAGAGATGGTTAAATGTAGGGGTATTTAATTGGTTAAAACCTCTTCCCTATATTCCACTAAATATTCAGTGCACCTTCAAAATGGTGTATGTTTGTTTAGTTTTTAGTCAGTCTCTAAATAGCTTCTGGCTGGCACATACTGTATCAATGTTGACAACAGATGATTATTCTGTCAGCAAAGAGGTCATTGAAGGTTTATAACAGCTCTATTAAATCCAATAACTCTGGCTGCCATCAGTGTTCTTTAATGCCAGCATCATAAGCAAGCTGTGTGGCCAGACGTCAGATTCAAGTTTAGTATCGAGAATTTAAAAGCAACACAAGTTTCCCCTGAATAAACCCCACCAGAAAAATACATAGCGGAAGTGAGGCAGAACTCTGGGTCCCCTAAAAAAATAATTTCTGTGAAGTGGAAAGACAACATTTGATTCCAGGCTTTGGGTGCAAAGCCGGCAACAACAGGGAGGCTGAGGTATCACTCATAAAGTATGCCATCCGCTGACAAAGACGAGTGTCTGTTTTTAGCTGCAGCGAGCTCGTTTGCAAGCTCGACTCAGGGAATTGTGTCTCCTTTTGCTGAGAAGCTTTGTGGCACTCTGGGGACTGAAAATAGGGACACGGCAACAAGAAAAGAGCGACTGTAAGAGACTGAGAGGGAAACAGTCAGAAAGGGAGGAAAACTGATGGGAGGAAAGAAGCAGCTTGGACCGTCTCAGCACTAACAAAGAAGAAAAAGAAAGCTTCATCCAATAATTATATCTTCTCGTATAGTATGTACATATACCCTGGGATGCCACTGTGAACCTAGCAGTAGGGATTATAAGACATGTGTCCCAGTGTAATAGCACAAAGGGAAGAGGAGGGTGTGCTGGTTAAAAATGTGGAGCAGCAGAACATGAAGGCATCATAACTAATCCAACAAGAACTAGAGGATTGTTGCCAACCTCTCCTTTTTATTTTGTATTGAAAAAAACGTGAGGAACAGTTTCAAGCATGAAATATCAAAGAACAGCCTCTGTGATATGGAGGTGTGATGTCAAGCAGATCAGCTCAGGAAGGCTGCCGACTCAAATCTCTGAGTAGTTCTTTCTGTCCAAAGAACACAACATTTCCTTTTTGTTAAAGCGTCTGAAAGAGCAATATGGAAACGATGTGATGGGAAACACCTGAGATGACCCTACAGCAAATGATCACCTTAATCTGCAGCTTCACTCATTTATCTTTAGCCTCTTAAACAGAAGAGGAGCTCATTCTGAAACAGAGTCCATGGCCGTTTCTCAATCGCGAGGAAACTGGCTTCCAAGCCAATATTTCAAGGATGCTATGTCATCGAGTGCCGCCAGCATACTTGGAGTTCCACCGAGGCCGCGTCCTTGGTTTGGGGGTAATTTCGAGGCTGCACATGGGTAGACTTCGCGTCCTTCAAATCCCCACAATTCTTTGCGCATGGACCGATTTCCCCAAATCTGTTGCGGAAAATGTAAGGCGGGGGCCTCTCATATGACGCACAAGAGTGGAACAGGCTAGCAAGTGTGCAGGTGTGCGTCATATGAGAGGCCCCCGCCTTACATTTTCCGCAACAGATTTGGGGAAATCGGTCCATGCGCAAAGAATTGTGGGGATTTGAAGGACGCGAAGTNCGGAGACTCGAGAGTTGACTTGAGAGTTGACTTGAGAGGGATCTTGAGAGGGATCTTGAGAGGGATCTTGAGAGGAAACTTGAACGGAGACTTGAGAGGGGACTTGAGAAGGAAGTCGAGAGGTGACTTGAGAGGTGACTCGAGAGGGGACTTGAGAGGGAACTCGAGAGGAGACTTGAGAGGTGACTCGAGAGTTGACTTGGAGCCGGAAACATGACTGCTGGGGCCGGCACTGGAGCCGGAATCATGGCTGCTAGGACCGGTACCTGAGTATGAGCTGGCTTCCTGACCTTGCGTCTTTTAGAGGTCTTTTGGAGACTCCGTGGACCACCAAACGCCAGGCCGGATCCCAGGAAAGGGTCAGAGAATGGAGGCTGGCTCTCAGGGCTACGAGAAAAAACTCTTAGAAACTCAGGCAATGAGCTTCTCAACCCTGGCATGTTGTCCACCTCCATTTGTGCCTTTTTGAGGACAGCCTCTTTGTCCCTTTTCGTCGAGGTTCTACTCCACTCGGCATAACACCGAAGAGTGTACTCTAGGGAGAACAAGTCCAAATCAAAATAAAATTCTGCTGGGTCCATTTTGGTCTGTTACGGTTCGTGAAGGAAGCAGGACCCAAATGCAGATTTAAACTGAAAATTCCTTTATTTCAAGGCTATGATATCCACAACGACAAAACAGAACACTCACCGCAGAACTAGTCATGGTACAAGACGAACCGACAAAGACAGACAGAAAACCCAGAACTTAAATACACAAAAGACTAATCACACAACAAGACACAGGTGAGGAGGGAGGAGGAAACACAGGGGCCACAGGTGAACACAATCAGACAATCAGGGAGGGAAAGCAGACAGACAGCAACAGGCAAGACAGGAGGTGACACTTTACAAAATAAAACAGGAAACAAAAGACAAGACGAAACACAACACCGACAGATCGTGACAGCTGTGGCTTAACGCTTAAACCTATGTATCTCGTGGATAAAAAAGTCTTCTAATTTACCTCTTGGTGAATTTCCCAAAATGTCGAAAGAAAAATATATTAAACTGTCAAAACATAACATGGGAATATGGAAGTAAAGCGTAAGTAGGTCAATGCTGTATTATGCCATGTACTCTAGTGGTTCACTCAGTTCCTTTTGTATTACCGTACATCATTATCTTGCATTTTTAAATACCTGCTGTGACAACCGATCAACCTGTTGAAACAATAAAAGATACACTTTATGGCCTCCCACGCATTCTAATGAAGCCTTTGTGACCCGTCTTCTCTGAATCCTTCCAGCTGTGTCGTGTCGCCAGCTGGACGGGACGCAGGCCGACATCAACGAGTGTCTGAAATTTGCCAAGGCCATGCCATCCATCACTCAGCACTGCCAGCTCCCCTGCCAGGACGACTGCCAGCTAACCAACTGGTCCAAGTTCTCGTCCTGCACAGCTGACTGCGTGGGGGTCCGCACCAGAAAGAGGGCATTGATAGGTGAGAACAAAGAGTGGCATTGCACCAAATGGGCTTTTGTTCTGAACCCTTTTGGGACGGGATTATTACCTGCAATGTAGTTTAAGTGTTGGTGAGGTACCAGGCAGTAAAGTTGTCGGGCAATTCTCCAAGAGACGAGCAGTAAAGTTAAACATAATGTCGTAAATCTTTTCCGGTAGTTCTTGCCAGGTAATGCTCCAGTGGGATTGAAGCAACAAATCTGAAATAACTCCTCAGCCTTTGTTTTCCATCAGGGCGTTCCCAGACAGTTGCCTTGTGCATCACAGTTATAAAGCAAAATGACAGGAGTGCAGCAAAGCATTAAGAGGTTACTGTGGGGGGAGAAAGTCAAGTTTAAAATGGGAAAAAGTGGATTTGGAAAGCTTTTATTTTCCCCTGATTTGATGCATTATTTTGACCCATTCTACCAAGTATAAAAGAGCAAAGAGGTCATGGCATGCATTGAAGGACTCTTTGAAGAGGTTGTATCATTGTTCTTCGCTTTGAACCAGGGAGAGGATGTGGATTTTAAGGATCAATTCAGAGTCCTACAGCTTTGGGGAATGGGTCTTTTTAAAGGTGGCGTATGTGGTTTACTCTTTCAAAGCAGAGCAATAATTCCCTTCCCTTTCTCAAGTTACTATTTTACTCCTAAATGTGTAACTTTAATCTCAGAGAATATTTGACTTTTCTTCCCGTAAATATGCAAGTTATTGTCTGAATATTTCCATTTCCCCCAAAACAGTAAATATTGTTTTTCTACCTCCAATGGACCTTAAAATATGTTGTATTATTCTCTTTTATACACATACATTCCCCTCAAAATGAAAAGTAAATGTGGATCATTTGGAGTAAAGTATACTGTATACTTTTATGCTGCCTGTTGCTCACGAGGAGCTTTACAGACAGATTAAAGCATGATTCACAGCAGTTAGCAGCTTGGATGCAATAACCAACAAACAGCTGTGGTCCTCATGCAGGATAAACTTAGCAAATTTTAGCTGTAATTTTATTAATGCAACAAACAAAAAGCATTAAAGCAATACAGTCAAACGTACAGCCCCCTGTATTCATTTGCACATGGTAAGGATGCGTTAGCCCTATCTTCCTATTTGCATGTGAAACTACTAGTTTTGCTTGTTCTATGATTAATAATGCTTGACATGTTGTTAAAAATATTCAAGTTGTCTCAGTAAAAGAGCACTCTGCTTGAAACAATTTTGCCAGTGTAATCTATCATCAGGAGTTGCTGTCTCACTGTTGATGTATCCCACACGAATCAGGGGACAGCAACTCCTGTGTCACCCAGCCTTTTCTCAGTGACTACACTATCCAAACTTTCCCACAGGCTTTAAAAGTACGCTTAAATATGGTGAGACTCAAAGTCATTTCGACCAAAAAGAGACAGAAATCCAACAACACCAGCAGACGTGTGGAGTCACCTCTCCCAAAGCGATTCCTTCATCTCTGTCATCTCTGTCCTCAGGGAGGAGCAAGAAGAAAGACAAGTGCAAAAACACGCAAATGTACCCTTTGAGTGAGACCCAGTACTGTCCGTGTGACAAGTACAATGCCCAGCCGGTGGGGAACTGGTCCGACTGCATCCTGCCTGAGGGGGGGAGAGTGGAGAGCCTCCTGGGGATGAAGGTGCAGGGAGACATCAAGGAGTGTGGGCAGGGGTACCGCTACCAGGCCATGGTGTGCTACGACCAGGACAACCGGCTGGTGGAGACCCTGCGCTGCAACAGTCACGGTCAGTATTTAAACCTATATGTGTGTGGGTATTTGTTTCAGGTAACATCACAGAGTTAGTTGTTTTTTAATGTGGCCATGCTGATTGTTTTGGTTTCATATGTTTTAGAGCAATCTACCTCTAGCACCTACTTCCACCCACTTGCATGGAGGTTAAAACCTCTATGGATGATCTGAACTTAGAAGATCTTCAATAGAATGCCTGACAATAAAGTTAATTTGTTCAGGTTTTTACAAACTGTCGCTCTGAGCCTGCTCTATACCATGTGGAAAAATTGATGGTTTGTGGCTCTCGGAGCATAGAAGAATTTGGTCTGTTTTTTTACGTTTTTGAAAAGGACAATGCATTTTTTAAACATCTTTGAAAATATGATAAAAAAATAGAATAAGCCAGAAAGGAATATTTTACATGTGATGATGAACACACTTTTTCTCTTATCCAAACACTTTTTTCATGAAGCAGAAAATAAAGGAAATGTAGAGCTTTTCATCCGCATTAATCCACACCACTCATACACAGCTGAAAGTGAACATGAAAATAAAGATGAAACCGTAAAATTACAAACAGGGATGAATGAGAGAAATGGCTACATATCACTAGAAGTCGGCATCACAGAGAATGTCAAACATTTTACGTATGGCATGACCCTAAATGATGGAAGCAGATCTTAGAGGAAACTGCCTTTAAGCACACAAGTACACAAAAGTTACTAAATTGTGTTTTCCCTCTCCAGCATTGACTACTTGGTTCCAGCTGAGAAATATTCTGTAGAGCAACAGATGCAAGAATAACTGTTTATTCAGATAAACATTTATCTGAGGTGAAGGATTTTGTCTGTGCACATATGCAGTCCCCCTCCTATGGAGGTTAGGGTCCTATTTCAGATACAGGATTTCACATTAGGAGGATTTTTTCTGGCACACTCCTGTCACAATCATTTGTCTCTTCGTTTTTAAAGGTCTTATCTAAGATCCAAAATACTTCAAGCGAAGAATCCTGGCTCAGAAACTCGTTGTGAAATTGCTGTGAAATAGAATGCGGGAGATGTTCAAATGAATACATCAGTGTTGTGCATATACAAACAAGGTTTTAGTTTCTTGTGTGAGTCACAGATTCAGATATGCGACGGTTAATCTGGGTGTGGGTGTGACAAGGGCATGTCGTAAGGATGGGGTGTGTGTGTGGTGGTTTGTGTGTTTTGCAGCCACTGAGTATTGGTACACCTATGTGAATGTTTGTGTGTGTGTTTGTGTGCATCCATGCGTTCATCTTCAAGCACCAATGAGCTAAGAACAAAATAAATGTTCCTTGAGGTGCACAGAAAAACAAAAACACATTCATGAGGCTTGGCGTAGCTACATGTGAATCTCAAAGACATCATGAAATCTCTCCTTTATCATCCTATCTAATTCAGTCGCTCTTCCTCCATTCTCTCCTTCTCTCTCAGCCATCATCACTTTTAATCTTGATAGGGGAAGAGACGTGGTCTTTCCAAGACTCTGTTGCTGACACAATGCCCTCGGCTGTGATGTCGATCAGGCAAACTGTGCCACTGTTATCTCTGTATTCCACAGACCACCATATCACCAGGAAACAAGGGGATTATCATTAAAAGTGAACGTTGATCCAAGCTTTGTGGTATTTCTCACTTCCCAGATTGCCTGGTTCCTCTATAAAAAGGAGCAGATATTATAAATAAAGATCACACTGCATGCTGTTCAGAACAATTCTCAAGACATTATTTCTCTTATTCAGCGTTTGTGCAGTTTACTAGAAACAATTTAAAACACTATATATATTACTGTACTGTAAACGTTTAAAGTCAAGCTTGACTGCAGCTACACGATAATAAGCAACACAAGAAGGCTGTAACATCCAAATGACACTTTCCTGATTCGCTTAGTCCACAGTAATAATTACAATCAGCCACAAGAAGATCTAATTAGTGTGTTGTCATGTTCAATATAATCAAGGGATAGGGGGGGGCTTTTAATAAAGGCTACTTTATTCAATAATTATAGGCCCATCTCTAAATTGTCAGTTCTGGCCAAGGTTCTTGAAAGCCTAGTGAGTGAGCAGGTAAAGGTGTTTTTAAGTAACAACGACTTACTATGTAAACATCAGTCAGGTTGCAGAAAGCAACATAGCACCATCACTGCGACAATGAAAGTGGTGAATTATATTGTAGGTATCTTTGACAAAAAGCAGAGTTGTGCAGCTCTGTTTATTGATCTTTCCAAAGCTTTCGATACCGTCGATCATCAAATCCTGAAGCAGAGGCTGGCCAGTATTGGCATATCCAGCCATGCAGTGGGGTGGTTTGTGAACTACCTCTCTGAAGGTCCCAATGTGTTCAGTTTGATGGGCTCACTTGGTGGTTAAACATTACAAATGGTGTACCACAAGGTTCTGTTTTAGGTCCATTATTATTCTCCATCTACTGTATATCAACAGCTTAGGTCAAAATGTGGATGGAGCAACTTTACATTTCTATGCGGACGATACCGTGATGTACTGTGCAGGTCCCTCCATTAAGGAGGCTGTTGGTAAATTACAGGCTTTTATTAATATTATCCAGACTCAGCTCTCTGAGCTTAAGGGTTAAGCTTAAGCTTCATAAAACTAAGGTAAAGCTATTTTCAAAAGCCAAAAAGACACCGGAGACCACCCATTTGTTACGTCCCCACTCAGGTCTAGGGGACCTGGAGACAATAACCTACAACCGATAAAAAATGAGGGAGTCAGCGTAACAGTTGACAAAAGGTTTATTATGTGTAAACCCAGATCCGAACAGACATATAATTGAATCACTCTGTTGGTGAGGAGGAGTCAAAGGATTGTGCCAAACAAAAGAAACAAGCATAACAAAACCAGGCCTATCTCTACATCTACCCTTTGAAAGCAAAACTCAAACAAAACAACCCTCACTAACTAAAATACAAAGAATTGACAAAACAATATACAGGGGTGGCAACAATCCGCTAACCTAGTGTGTCTAAACATTAGTTAGCTGCGTGGTGAGAAATGTACAGGGTACCCCAGACTTACCTGATATTGTTACTACGCCAGGAAAAGTACTTGAAGTGGTTGCCTGTTATAAATACCTTGGTATCTGGCTTGACGATTGTCTCTCTTTTAAACCTCAGGTCAATAAAGCTAATGGGGAAGCTAGGTTTCTTTTTCAGAAACTAGTCCTGTTTCTCGCTTGAGGCCAGGAAAAGGCTAGTCTCTGTGAACTTTTTTTTTACGAGTAAAGCAACAGACTTACAAGCATTTCCTTTAAAAATGATTTCTTCTGAAAAAGAAAAAACAATTTAAAAAGATGATTCTATCAAAACCTTTTTTTATACTTCATAAGTCTGAAGTCATAAACACAGGAAGCATTATAGATTAGAAAATGGATCATCAGTATATATATATCTCAAATGTTTTACCCGCCCTTCAGGGCTTCCGTAGAAATGTCATGCTGTAGTTGGGGAAGACCTTAGAACAGGTCTCCTTCTATGTCCTATATATTTGACATTACTCATAAAGTTCCTTTAATGATGACTCTAAGTGACCTGTAATCTTTGACCTTTACCATGACTCTATATTACAGGATGGCTCAGAGGCCTTGGTCTCATGCTAGCAGGGTGGGGTAGAGGAGGAGGGGTGCACGTTGCAGGCACTCTGGGGAGTCACAGAGCCCTTAAAGCTTAAGGGCAAGCATCTTGCTGAGGACCTGTGAACTTGAGCAGAATTGCAGAGAACAGATTTGCTGGTGCGTGACGACCTGTATTTGTCACGAGAGGAGAAACACACTGAGAGCCGGTGCCATATAATTGATCTTATGCTATTTGAGTGTTACAGCATATAGGCAGTGTGCTGTGAAGCTCTAAGCTAAGCTCAGTGTGTGTTATGGTTAGTGATGTTAGAAATGTACATCAAAGGGTCCTTTGGGGCCTATGGGGATTCCTTCTTATTCCTCTACGCTCCATGTTGAGCTTCTATAGCTATTTTCCGAACGCCCAGGGATTAGGCTACCCCCGTTGCCTTGGAGATGATTGTGATGCAGGGGGTGTAACGGGTCAAAAATCAGTTACCGTGGATGATTCCTGGAGCCAAAAAGGTTTGAGTACAGCTTCTCCGACCACCCACCCATAGAGCGGATAACATTTGGTTTCAGAGGCCAACGCTGTGGTGACTTTATTCCTGGTTGAATGGCTAGAAATAAATGGTGGCTGGATATACCCTCAGGGGGTCCTCAGTGACACCCTGGGGCCCATGAGGCTAGTTGATCCTTACAAATGAAATAACAGAGAGAAACAAAAAGGGATTTTCCAACCAATATTATCTACTGTACACTAGGTACAAACATCATTTCAGCTGATTACATGTATAACCTCATGTACATTTATATCGGTTCAAAACCTAAGAAGTATGTTGATCTAATTGATATCAGTATGTATTATTGTATTAGTTGTTTAAATTACTGTTGGAAAATGTAGTTTGTTTATTTCAGTTTTTCTTTTCTTTTGTCTTTGTGTTCGTTTCTATGTCTGCGTTGGACTGTTGTATTTTGTGTTTTTATTTCCTAAAGCCCTAACCAGAGACTCATTCATTTAGTTTAGTAGATACATAACTTGATAAAATAAGGTCAATATTTTTCACAAGCATTAAAGAAACTGTAGCATTGCAGTTCACACGTGATCTTTTATAGATTACAGACAAAAATGCATAGCAAGGTAAGATAACCTTTATTGTCCCCCCAATTTCGTCAAATGTAAACAAACCATGTCAAAAGAAAACACAAACAACTGCTACAAACCTGAAAGTCTTTTCTTTTATTGAAACATTGTGTTTAAAATGCATGCGATTCAAGAAGTTATTAATCTTCAGGAATTTTAGCAAATAAGCCAGTGTGCAGGTGATAATTAGTTTTAAGGTACAAGAAATGCCAGGGTTCTTGCATGTGCAAAAAGAAACAAAGCATTGCCTTGCTTTAAATAAAGGTAAAGTTCAAATAAAGCCATTGTTTGTATGTTTGTTTATGTTCCAGCTAAATGTTAATAGCTCTCAGTTACAGTATTGTAAGAAAGCCTATCTTCCTCCAGAGGTATTTCAGTTTATATCCTAATTATCTCTGGGAGCTTCAAGAGAGGGCTGCGCCGGGAAACTGTTAACATTTCAGGTGTCAGCAGTTACAACTGCTTTGGGGATAACAACAAGAGCTTTCACCAGGTTGACTTCTAAAGGTGAAAAGAGGTGATCTCCTACCTGGACTCAACCCAAAAGCCCCAGTGAGAGCTTGGCAAGACCTCTAACAAGTTTATATCTGTTGAAGGTTGAGGTGGGCAGCTCTTTATAGTACTTAAAAGTGACAGTGTCAGTGATTTACGATGACTGAACATGACTTGAAGACTTACAGTGAGAGGTCAAAGGTCATGAAGCTTATTTCGGAGGCCAGGCTGTAGTCAGCAAAGTGTTGATGTGGAGACGCTGATCGAGGGCAGCAGAGCGTAAGGAGGTCAGGCAGAAGTGTGAGTGCATGTGAATGGACGGATGTGATCATTATGTCGCTGCGCATTTAGTTTGTGTGAAAGTGCTACCAGGACTTTACTGGATTAAGTATGGACATTTTTTATTTTTTAATCATATTAGCTTTAAAAAAATATACTGCTCATTTTTGGGTCAGCATCACCCTGCAACTGTCCTCTTCAGATGAGCCAAATTCCATCCGTGTTTTTAAGCTCTGTTCAACCAGAAGCACCTCCTCTAGCAGCACAGGAAGAAAAACAGAACACTTATAAGAGTTTGCTCAAATGTACCCACACTCATTAATTCTAAGGTTTCTTACATAACTTCATTTTAATAGTACATCTTAATTAACCTAATTTATTATTTAACTCATTTTCCTTTATCAAAAAGTTATAAGGGCTTTTGTTATCAGACTATAATTAAAACTTTTGGCTGTTACTCAAATAAACTTTCTGACACCTTCTCAACAGTAGCTTTAATAACACTCCCACACCAACACAGCCAAATGTGTTGTATGTATTTAACTATGTATATATTTATTTGAATGCAGTGTTCTTTTCCATCTGAACATTGCCTGGCATGTTTTCTAGGTTGAACAAGTGAAACACATTTTTCACATATTAGGGATGTGTTTTTTACAGGCCTTCATTATCCGCTTACTAACAAGAAGAAAAAAGATGACTTCTGAATGCTAGTGTTTTTTGGTCCGTCACTCTTTCAAATATAATTATTACAAGATATGTCATTTGTTTTATATCAGCAGACAGGTTATCTTTTTGTTTTCATTCAGAAATAGAATGATTCTGGCTTTCTGTGGGGTGAGTCTGGTTAGTCTCTGAGACCCGCGGCGAGAAAACCTGCTCAGCTGGTGCCGAGGAACGGAGAGATAGCATCTCGCTAGAGTGGCCAGCCTCAGGAAGTGCATATGATTACATTTCCACCAGTCAAGAGGATTAGCATTCAATGAGAGGGGATTTCCATAGGTGTCCACCACTGCCTTTGGGTCAATAGCTTGTTAAGGGCAACATTTATGGCATAGCAGTGACCGTGTTTTACGACTCCAGCCTCAGCGGCAGGCACCGCTCATCACCTCGCCCCATAGTGTTTTATAGTTACATTTGATTTATTACTATGTAAAAAAAAAATGAATTGGTCCATATTTTCATTGTAGGTTCAAGGTCATTCTGTTAAATATTATCCATATTGTATATACATTGACAAAATAGATTTGTAAGGACTTACAAGCTTCTTTTGGATTCGTTTTAATTTTAGATTTAATATCGTTGTGGCACGTGTGTTCTTAGCAGAGCGATCAGTCAAGGTGGCACCACATTTCTCTCTGAAGAGCAAAGCAGTCTGAAAGAGCCAACATGAGAAAGAATCGTATTCCCTTCATGAATTTTCTCAGCCATGTCTGTTTACTACAGCGACTTTTACCCAGCAATTGCAAAAACTATTTCACAAGAGGGAAAATGTTGTTATGGACTCAACTTCAGGTTCATGTAGATGATCTTTTAAACATATTTAACTGAACCTTGGCCTGTGTGCAGTGGGGAAGGGAGAAGTCAAGAGATGGTGGGACATGAAACATGAGTAACAGGCGGAGGGAGATTCTTAAAACCGGCCCTGCTGACATGTCCTGACCCTGTGAGCCGAGGGAAAATAGATTGAAATAATGAAGCTCACTGACAGGCCCAAGCACTCGCCCAAGATATTTAGGCTTTTATATAACAGCCAATATATTTGCTCCTCTGAATGTGGACCCTGTTTTCATTCCACCGGGCTCAAAATCAATAAGTGCATTTAGATTGTATTATTGTTTGCTCTTACAGCTGGATGTTTTCCCCATCTAGCATTTAAAGAGTTTTTGGGACTTTTTAGTTGGATTGAAAAGAAAAACAGATCTTTGGGAATTACTGTAGGATGAATGTTGTTTTATACTGGATAATCAAAACAAATGTCTCTTTTCTCCAGGAGGCTGAGATTCTGCTTGTGTGATACAGAGAGAACAAAGGTTTTCTTTCAAAGTGTTCCTTCTTACGGTTCATTTTCTGGTGAATGCGTTTCGTCTATGAAATTAATAATTACAGACTACAGTACCATGTCTAGTCATTCATTAAAAAAGACTGCAAAGCTGTTATTTTATGCTTCAGTTTTTCTCTTGTGTTGAACAATCACCCATTTGACTCTCCAGGTCACACCACATGCATATTCAGTTATTGCTAAACACTTCCTGTTTTTGTATTTGTTCAGGTTATATCGAGGAAGCGTGCATAATCCCCTGTCCCTCAGACTGTAAACTCAGCGAATGGTCCAACTGGTCAAGATGCAGCAAGTCCTGCGGCAGCGGGGTCAAAGTTCGCTCCAAATGGCTTCGAGAGAAACCTTACAACGGGGGCCGGCCGTGTCCCAAACTGGACCACATCAACCAGGTACTGAAACTCCAGCTCAGTTTTGTAATCGGAATTGGTGGCTGAGCAGGAGAATGAGATATAACCCCAATCTTTAATATTTATGAACTCTGCTACAATATATTTTTACCTATAACAAGTGGGTTACACATTATCCGAAACCCATACTGGAGAGAAAGAGGGAGAAAGAAATGAATTATTAATTAATAGCACACTTCCCCTCATTATCGCTGCACTCATTTTTTGCCGAGCAGCAACAGTGCAAAGAGGAATGGATGCTATAAATGGATCCTATCCACCGTATTATTGCTCAAATGTGTGCAAATGGATTCCTTAAGGTTTCCGTGATTTGCAACTCTGAAATGCTTTCCAGGTCTGTGAGTATCAGCAGATGCAGATTAAGGTTGTGTTGATTGTGTGTGTGTGTATGTGTGAGTAGTGTGTATCTGCTCAGTTCAGGTTTTTTCCTGCAAAGGCTTACGTACATAATGTAACCATTTTTTTAAGTTATCATATTCTCTGCACTATATGAACAGTTGGCATTGCTCATTAATCCATCTATCTCCTTTTAATCCACCCTAATGCTCGCTGGATTTGACTCACTGCTACAGGCCCAGGTAAGAGCTGCTTTCCTTAGCTATCTGTAAATTTAGTCACAGATGTGAAATGTCACTGATGTCGCTGGGTCACTGACAGATGGTTGTAAACAGTCGCAATATCCTCACTGTAAGTAAACAAGGAACTATCAGATTAGAGTGTTATGTATTCAGACCTTTCTCTGAGGCAAAGCTGCTCCGGGGGCAGAAATAATCTTGTTGGAGTTAAACCTCGGATAGCCATAGCCAAGCCAAATAATTACTGTCTATAAGGCAAAACTTAAGTGACACACTTACAGGGCTAAGAGGAAATATTTATAGAAATATATATTAAAGAAGCCACTATTTTTCATGAGAATTATATTATAGCCATCAGTTGGCTAAACCAAGAAGTAGAACTATTATTCTGACATATTTGACTTGCTGCTCTGTATACTTGAAGTCATATTAAGCACATGTTAAGCACCGTAATAAGGTAATTCTGTCCCCAGGTGTACGAGGTGGTGCCGTGCCAGAGCGACTGTAATCAGTATGTGTGGGTGGCCGAGCCATGGAGCGTGTGGAAGGTCAGCAACGTGGACTTAAAAGAGAACTGCGGCGAGGGCGTCCAGACCAGAAAAGTCCGGTATCTATCGAGCTGCATGTCCTGCTACATGTCTGCATTGTTTATATAATAGATACATAACCACTATATGTACTGTGTTTCAGTGCTGCTAACTATTAGCTGATTTGCTGGTTCAGTCATCTAAATTCTCTAAAGTATTGCTTTTTTAGTAAACGTTCTAGAATAATTAGCATGTCAAATGTAAAGCAGGGCTTGGACATTGATCAGTCAGAATAAGCAATATGAAGACGCTATCGTCGGGAAATTAAATTAGCACTTTTAAGTACACTTTTTAATATTTAACCAGACAAGCGTAATTTATAGATTAATATACAAGCAGTTACAAACTGTCAAATTAAAACAACTATTTTGTGTTTTAGAAAAAAGTATTTATTTTCTAAATTGGACAAGAAGGTTCTGGGTTAATCTGTCTGACACGGTTCAGCTGACAGTCAACAACGACATCCTGCCAAATCCTTTCGGGTGGAACACAAACCTTTTGGATGTTATGCTGCACATGCCAAATCATGCACTGTAATTAGACTATATTAGACTGACAGGGCTGTATGTAATTAGATGGTTTGTGGGGCTGACAGACCAAACAAAGTGGTTCTGTAAAAGTAGATGGTTAAAAAGACAAACGCACCATATATAATGATTACGCCTTTTGTATTATCAAGACTCATTTCTTGTTGTGATTTTTGGTGGCTGATACATGTTCACAGTGAGTATCATGTGACCTTTTCAGTGAATAAACTGGCACTCTTAGTCTGTATTCAGTTTGTCTGCTGGATAATAAAGTCTGTAATATAGATATAGATTTTTTATTAAATGTGGCTGAGGCAGTAAAGGAAAACTAGGTTTCGGATGCAAATAAAATGACCTTTTTTGTACTGCATCCATCTCATCGATCTCAATCTATGCGTATTTTCTGTGTTTACATTGATCCTCTTCACCCAGTAGAGTCTGTGTTGCTGTGACAGATGTTTTTTTGTGTTTGTTAAATCGACCTCCGTCACCATGAGGGACGAACCCCATTACTTCATCTACTTGCCATTTCTATGTCCAGTTAAAACATAACGTCTAACTATGTTGTTCTGTGGAGCCATCAGTATCTAAAATGCAGTGTTTTTCCTCCAATCCCACAGGTGCATGCTCAACACAATAGACGGGCCGTCGGAGTCGGTGGAGGACTACCTGTGTGACCCTGAAGAGATGCCCCTGGGGGCCCGGGAGAGCCGGCTGCCCTGCCCAGAGGACTGCGTGCTGAATGACTGGGGCAGCTGGAGCCGCTGCAGCCTGGTGAGAGCTGAACTCAGATCAGAGAGCAGCAGCTCAGCTGTCTGCCACAGATATGGGAACATCAGTGTTCTGTGAAGCCCACTAAGATTTATCTTGGTATCTATTTTTGTCAGAAATATTCTCTCTAAGGCTCAAGGAATTCAAAGCGTACCAGCACTGTATCATTTTGAGCAGTGTGTGAATCTTAGTCAACAGGTTATTTATCGTCCACCAAAAGAGGAATAAAAGAGATTTATGAACTGGGAAGCAGGAGCAAAATGGCTTATGTATCACCTATATTACACTGTGCTCACTGTGCATTCAGCAGGGGAGGAATATGATTTATGATAAAGACTCAGAACTCCTGTGCAGGTTTTCAGATTTACATTTTGTGACACAGGCACTATCCTCTTTACATTAGCAGTGATGAAGTGGCAAAACAAAAAGGTGGCTAAAATATTCCAGCTTGCTCGGATCGTTATTTGGCAGACAACCACAAACAGTGAAGTTATATATATTCAGAAAACTACTAGATATTCAGGTCGTACACTTTCATTTTAGACAAAAGGTTGACAGACTAAATGAGTACAGTATCAGAATGTATCTCCTTTTTAATCAAAAACTAAGAGTCCCTTTCCAACTTGCTGTAGAATATGAAGACTACAGCATGTAAGCATTCTTTGCTTTTCCTTTCACAAAAACATGTTAGGCATCAAAACATCCTTTTCAGCTCCTCTGCTTGAGACAACTCTGATTCTTGGTAAAAAGAAAACCATTTAAATGCTCCTGTGTCTCCTGCTGTTCTCTCAGCAGCACCTTGGCCATTGTTAATCACACCCCATTTGTTTCCAAAGTACTTGACACACCGACTTCCCACAATTCCATCCTCGTACTGGAGTCTCCAGTGGCCCCAGCAGGGACCCTTACATGTTTTATTCATCGTGCCTGCAATGAAGTTATTGAAAAGGCTGTCATTTTCGCCTCCAACTGTCTTCCTGCAAGCAATGACCGTGTAGAAACTGGTTTATGATTCCAGCACAGTATCGGTTTCAGCTCTGCTGTCCTTTCCTGCTGGAGAGACATTGAATTCCTTATTCTGGGAATGCCAGGAGAGAGAAGGACCTTTATTTATATTTAGAAATACAAAGAGAAACATCCCTTCAGGGTCAAAGCTTATGCCGACAGTTTATTTCAAATACAAATGAAAAATAATCTAGCACTTGGCAAATTCCCACAGTTATCTCCTTTTATGTGCCTCTGATATAAACATCAGTGTAGCAAGATCTCTGCTTAGTTCCAATTCAAAGATGTTTCTTTATTCCTTGCAATGTTGACTGCTCAGAAATGTCTGCATTTTATGAAACAGTTTTTAATATGAGGTCTCTGTTGCAGCCATGCACCAGAACCAACAGTCGAGTGCGGATGGCATACACGCTACGTTCTCCCAGTGTCGGGAGGGAGTGTCCCGACACGAGTGACAATGAGCCCTGCAGCCTGAACCTCAACTGTTTCAACTACTTCTACAACATCACAGGTACGGGACATGTAAAATGACTGCTCTGTGCTCATAAAGGTGCAGTCGGCAGTATTCACTTCTCTCTGTAGGGTCATCAAACCTGTTTTGTTTGTGGCAGACGAGCTACTGTACGTGCTCTGTATGTTTTCAATGGAGTGTGTTTTAGGGCTGCTGCCATGGGATTGCAAGGATGTATGTATTTGGTACTCTGTGAGCATCACTGCAAACATGGGCCGTTTCTCAATCGCGAGGATGCTTGCTTGATAGCACATGTCTTCCGAGTCACTTCAGTAACATTCAGTCTATAAGTGTTGCAACCATTGACCGGGTGTTACGTAAAGGACAAAAATAAATGTCTTAAAGTTGTTTAAGGGCCCAGGAGCTCTTGAACCACAACTAATTACAAGACAAAGCTTTG